CGTGGTGGCGGGGGGAAGAGAGGGGGGGGGGGGGGGGGGGTGCAGTCGGTGTCAGGCAGGTCCAGGTTACAGTTCCAGTTGATAATCACACCAATCACCCCATCCTGCAGCAGAAACCAGCAGGCCTAGCACAGCATCAACACACCATGGGCACAGCGCAACTGTGCACACAGCATGACAACGGGCATGATATCCCAGTAAGCATGGCATTCCCCCCCAACCCACACTCCTGCCACCCAGCCATGAGCACAGCTCTCTTCCTCACTGCCAGTCAGGAAAGGCCTGGGGTATCACCACACTGGGGCACATACCCCTGGCAGGGAAGCCACTGGCACTGTCCACAAGGCTGCTTACCCAGGGGAGCGCTACCCCAGCAGTGGGCTTGCCAATTGAATTGCAAGCACAGCTGGGCATCAAGGAGCATCCCTAGATCCAGCGTGGGGGAACTCAAGGGACTGGAGGGTGCTGGGGCTGGCCAAGGGGTGCAGAAATTAAAGGACGGATGGAACAGTTCTAGGTTCCTTCCCTGGCTGGGAATTATCTTCTCCCAAAAGTGCAGCGGAGGCAGCAGGGCTGGATGGGGCTGGAGACCAAACTCTCCATGCACTGCCTTGTCCTGGCAATGTCATGCTATTTCCCAAAGTGTGTGAATGGATCCCCCCCCACTGGGAGAGCAAACCTGCCAGTCCTGAACAGCCCTGGCAGTGATATAGACACAACTGCACAGTCTATGCCTCCCTGCCAGCTGATCTCCTGCTCTCCAGCCTCTGCACAGGGATATTGCAATGGGGGCAACGGGCTGGGAGCCTTACAGGGCACTGCATATACAAGGTGGGCAGAAAGGACTGCTCAGGGGCTGGAGTGAACGTGCTGTGCTCCAAGCTGCTGAGGCTGGCTAAGCTGCCACAGCCCTCAGCCCACCCCAGCTGGGGGGGTGGGCATCATCCTGGCAGGGCAGCAGGGCCAGGGACCTGCCTCCAGCTGCCTCTGACTCTCAACAGCATCAGTGTGTGAGTGATGATCCCATGGCGCCAAGCACCAGAGCAGGTCCTGAAGGAACGCCCTGTGCCTAGCCAGCAAGACCCTGGGCCCTGTGGCAGGGCCAGCCTCCCAGGACATGACACCTTCTCAACCAGCTCCATAAAGTCCTCTCCCGCCTGCTCCACGATGAAGCCCAGCTTGAAGATGGGGCAGCAAAGGGCAGAGGTGGCATTGAAGGTGCAGCTTTTCAAGTAACCGCTCTCAGCAGCCTGAATGTTGCCCCTGAGGAGACACACCCAGAGCCATGGCATACAGCAGCACACCGCTACTCCTCAGTTCTCTCCCTAACGTCTTGAAGCTCCCCAGCCAAACATTAAACCCCAGCTCTGCTCACTGATGTCCATCCCACCGCTGATGGACCTAACTGATGGATGGTGAAGGGATTTCCTAGGAGAACTACCTAGCACAGAGGGATGTGTGCAGGGACTCAGAAATGCACATGACTAACTGAGAGATGGCCTGCATGGCACGAAGGAGGAGAGCAGGAACAGGAGGAGCACTGGGATTGTCACTATGCTGGCATTTTCAAAGGGATTCCTGTTCCCAAAGACCTCAACCACTCCCTTTGCAAGACCACGTGCCCCACATCCATCCACTAGTATGAGCGTTCCGGCTGCCTCTTTCTCAACAATTACCATCCTCATCATCACCACCTTCCTCAGAGGAGCCAGGAGCAAACAAGGATGAAGGATGGATGAATGGAGTAAGGGTTGGGAACTCAGTTTCACAGAGGCAGCAGCTGAGCATTGAAAAACATCACCAGTAGGTCGAAGGAAGTGATTACTGCCCTCTTCTCAGCTCTGGTGAGGCAACATCTGGAGTGCTGCGAGTGGGTATGGTCTCCCCAGTAAGAGAAAGACGAGTCCAGCAAAGGACCACAAAGATGATTAAGGGACTAGCAGCATCTGTCATACAAGGAGAGGCTGAGAGAGCTGAGACAGTTTAGTCTGGAGAAGAGAAGGCGCAGGGGGGATCTTATCAAGGTGTACAAATACCTTATGGGTGGGAGTAAAGAAGATGGAGCCAGACTCTTCTCAGTGGTGCCCCGTAACCATATGAGAGGCAACGGGCATAAACTGTTTTGTCTGAACTTCAGAACAAATTTTTTTACAGTGAGGGTGATCAAACACTGGACCAGAGACGGTGTAGAGTCTCCATCTTTGGAGATATCAAAAACCTGAAAGCGCGTGGCCTTGAGCATGGCCTGCTCAAGGTGACCTTGCTTTGAGCAGGGGTTCTATGAGGCAATCTCCAGAGGTTCCTCCAAACTCAGCGATTCTGTGAGCAACCTGGGAACATGGCTCCCCTGTGAAAAGCCAGCATCTCCTCCAGCTGTCAACTGGCACTGCTCCTGCACACAACTCCACTCCTACCTCTCCATCCCTCAGACCTGGCCTTGTGTTTAGACCACATCTTTCTGCTTTCAGTGCATACACACTCCTCTGGTACATAAGTCTCATGGGAAATGGCTCTGCGACCCATCATTGCACTTTTCAGGAAGGCATCTGGCTGCACCCTGCGCACACTCTCAGACCATGCACATGCATGTACAGGGCCAGAGTGGTCCCCTTGTCCCCAACCGTTGTCCCAGTGCTGCAGACCTCACTAGAAAGTGCTGCTGGCACAGTGAGGCCATCCTGGTCCCAGCAGCAGGGCCTGGCCTGCACTCAGCTGCTTAGCAACACCCACACTACTCCCCACTCTGTGGCCTGCCCTGTGCCGCACCCTTGGCACCCACTTGCCTGCCCGCCCCATCCCTGGGCCTCACACTGACCCCTCCCTGCACAGGCCCATGCTTGCTTGGAGAAGCCAAAGCACGGGAAACGGATGTTGTTCTTGATGAGGATGGTGAACTGTGGTGCCATCTTCGCCAGCGACTCACTGCAGAAAGAACTGAGCGCCGCTGCTTGGGGAGCAGCATGGCCCCTCTCGGCACAGCCTGTGCCAGGGCACCCCTGGGCCTATGCCATGACCTACTGCTGCAGAGGCCAAACCTCTCAAGAGCACCCTCAAGGATGTCCCACCCAGAGCAGCCCTTGGTGTCCGACAGGACCCAGAAGATGGGCCAGGATTTTGGTGCCTGCTCCATCCTGCCAGAGGACTGTCCTCCCCACTGCCAGGTCCCATCCGTGGTGCCTGTACCTGACACTCCCTTCATCTACTGGGCACCAAGCCAGGATCTCACGGCTCTTCTCGGTGCCACCAGCATTGGGCATGCAGCGCCCTGTCTTCTCTCCTGTGAGGACAGGTGCACAGTGCTGTACTTCCTGGCGAGCGCTATCCTGCCTGCTGTGCAACGGCTGGGCAGACCACTGGTCCCTGCACATCTCCAGCTCGCCTTGGCCCAACACCTCCATGTCCCCAGGGGTGCAGTCGTGGTTGGAGTTGCACACAGCACTGCAGACTGTCAGCCTCTGCAAGGTCATGGGAGACATGGTCACAACGGGACATGCACCTGGTAGTCACACGTTGTGCCAACAGAGGGGACAGGGCACCCCATGTGCTGCCCCATCTCTGCATAGGTCCCAGCCCTTGCAGGCTGGCTGGGGTAACCAGCTGTTAACCCTGCCTGGGGTGGCCCTACCCTGGCATGGGTTCCCTTGGTTTGTCCTCTGTAGCAGACAGGCAACCCTCTTCTCCATCTCCTCCCATGGGAGCTGAGCCAGGGACAGCAGTGCTCACTATAATGCCCCAGGTCTCCACATCCCCCAGCAAGCACTGCTCAGTCTCCACGCATCTCTCCTCCTGTGATTCCCTGACTCAGCAGCCTTCAAGCAGTGCCCAGGCCAGGGGAGGCAGGGAGATCCCTGCCACGAAGGGGTGCAGGCAGAGGAGAGCTACAGGGATCAGCACCATGTCCATGACCAGCTCTGTCCTGGAGTCCCCGCTGGCAGCTCCAGATATCCCCATGCATCTCTGTAACCCACCATCCTCTCCGTCCCTCTGTCCAGGCCCACCTCACCTCAGGGCAGGTCGCTATCGTCTGGGCAGGGCTGACCTCCACCCGCGTGAGGATGCTGAAAGTGCTCCCACCCTATGAAGCAATCAGGAGAGATGACGCTGTTTGCAGGAAAGCACAGCTGTGCTTTCACACAGGGATACACAAGTTTATTCACATGGAGATGAGAACACATGCATTCTCATGTACACTCACATGGGGGTGTGCACACGTGTTCACACATGCATGCACACAGGGGGTACACACATTGGGATAGTGCATGCCGATTCACACCTGTGCTCATACCAGGGCATATGCATGCCCGTTCACACAGAGACATGCAAATCGTGACTTTGCACTGATGTGGAAATCACCCAACGGCAGCACTTTGCTGAACCTGGAGCTGATACTGCAGGCAATACGCTGGGGAGACCTGCTGTACCAGCTACCCAGCAGGCTCAAGCCAACCTTAGCCCTTTGGAAACAGCAAAATATTGACAAGAATGGCAGTGACAGGAAGAAAACTCCAGCATTGTGCCCTCATACCAGTCTCACCACTGTCCCCAAATCATCTGTCTCCTGAAAGCTCCCATCTGCTGCAGTGCAAGAGTAAGAATGCGTTTTGCCTTCAAAGCCACTTTTCCACAGATTCTTGCTGCTTTTAATCACAGACTTGCTGAAAGCCTGAGGTGAGCAGGATGTCTGCAGGGCTCTAGTCCACTCCTCTGCTCTAAGCAGGGCTAACTCCAAACTAAAGCAGGCTGCTCAGGACCTTGTCCAGCTAAGTTCTGAAACTCTATAAGGACAGAGATCCCCCACCTCTCTGGTTCCTGTCCCAGGGCTGCATCACTCTTAGGGAGAAGAATTTTTCCCCTTTTCACCTGTCACAATTTCCCCAGCCACAGCTCATGCCAGATGCCTCTCATTCCTTCACTGAGCACCTCTAAGAAGAGTCTGGCTCCATCTCTTCTATATCCTCCTCTAGGTGCTGGATGACTGCATTAGATTCCCCCTGCATCATCCTTTCCCGACGCAGAACAAACCCAGCTCCCTCAGTCTTTCCTCCTAGGTTGTGTTCTCCAGCCCTGACTATTTTCATGGCCTCTGCCGGTCTTGCTCCAGCTTACTGACAGTTCTCACGGTCCCTGCACTGGACACTGTATTCCAGATGTGGCCTCACTATTGCCACCTAGAGGGGATTCATCTGGCACAGCAACTCTGTGACAGACTTTTTGTGACAGTGGAAGGTTCCCAAACAGCTGTCAGAGAGAGGCCATCGGCCAGGTCTCACATCCTGGCCAGGTGATGCTGGGTGGCAAATGCAAGCCTTGTCCAGACTAGCAGTGCCCGAGGCCAACACAAGCTCTTCCTCAGACCAGCCTGGTAATTTCAAAACCACCTTGCCAAGACCAGTGAAAACCCATCCTCTGTCTCATGGCATCCACTGAAAAAGCTAAGAGCCTTCTCCGGCGCACCAGGGCATCTCCACCCTGGCCAGGCAACAGGCATGGGGCAGCTGCCAGATCTGAAACTGCCCCAAGAATGTCATGCGGTTGCTTGGAAAGAGGAGGAAAAGCTGAGAGAGCTTCACATTTCCTCCCATGACTGAGCCCGGCGTCAAAGACTGGTTATTCTTCCCAGTTCTCACTTGCAGAGTCTGGCAAGGTTCAGTCTTTTTCCCCCAGGCTTTTGGGGAATACAAAGGTGATCTGCCCTCTACTATGAATAGCTGCAGTTGGTAATAATAGCACTGGTAAACAATGAGGTGAATGTCAGACCTTCCCCTGACCTGATCTGAGAGTCCCCTCTTCTACCCTGAAAGTCCTAAACCACAGAGGTTGGGTGCTGCCTCTGAAGGGAGGCAGACAACTGAGGGCCTCGCTGGGTAAGGCCACAGGTCCCTGCCCAGTGCTGTGTGCCAAGCCCCCAAAGTTCCTCTGGGCCTGCCCCACAGCACTGGAAATGTGGCCTAACATGCAGTCCCAACCTGGCTGGGACACAGCTATGTTTGCCTCACCAGGAGCCAAGGACAGCGCTGGGACTGGAGGAGGGAGCGCAGGAGTCCCCATGCAGGCAGCATTCACCCTACAGCAGGGGGCACCATATAGGACAACTTCCTTTACTGGGAACATCTGGGTGAAGGGGCAGTTTGCAAGCCCTTAAAGAGAGACTGCTGCCCATGTACTGCTCCATCAGGCCACCCAAGGCAGGTGAGACAAGAGAAGATGAAGGGGAGAGGAAGGTCAGAGCCTCCCCTCGGAGGGGGGGGGGGCACGTACTCCCCAACATCCCACACCTTACTTGGTGACTGTGTCATGCCCTTGACTTTGGTGATGACAGAGCTCTCCAAGCCTATCTCACACTCCTGGTAGCCTTTCTGAATGATGAACACACACACCTGTGGGGGAAGGACAGGAAAAGGAGCTATTAGTGATGTCCTCCTCACCTCCAGGACCCGGAGTGCTCCCTGGCACCAGCTGAGGGCACTAGCACATGGGGTTGAGAGACATAGGGGTCTGCTGATATTTGAGGCCATTTGAGACCAACAGGCAGCATGGGCAGGATGGTTTGCTCACCAGCCACATGCCATCCATCTCATGCAGGCATGGAAGTCCCTGGGACCTGGCACTGCCATGCTCCAGCTGGGCCTGACTTTTCACATCTCTCTGCCTCACTTCCAACCCTGCTTCCAGGAGGTCAAAGTATGGGGAGATGTGCAGGCAAGGAGACAGCCTCAGAGCCACCAAAAGGAGGCAGGGCAGACAGGCAGTTGAAGAGGCAGCTGCCGCACTTGCCTTGCCCTGTACAGCAACACATACCCACTGGCTCTCCTGTATCTCCCCTGGCACGCGTGCATGACCTCTCCATTATCTGGCCCCGAGCAGCTTCTGGGGAGTGTAGGCTCCACCACAGCTGGTTTGTAGCCCAGGAAAGGCTAGAGGTGGTGGACAGGGAGTCATGCCAGGGCACCGGACCAACACGCTACTCTCCTTGACTGCCGGCAGCACTTGTTAACCTGGGCCTTGCACAGCACAGGAAGGGCGACAACATCACAAAGGCAGGGATGGGATGAGGACAGTGTCAGGTCCTCACTGCCACAGGGGAACCAGGGCAGTCATCTGCAAACAGCCCTTCCCATGCTGCTCTGCACAGCCAAGCAGGATTGCCCCAGGATGGCAGTCCCAAGAGAGCCAGCCTTACCAGCCAGGAGCTCCTGCTTCACGGCCACCTTGCCACGGCAGGGCAGGCCTTGGGGCCAGCAGAAAGCACAGGCAGGGCTCTGCAACATAGTTTGTTCACCAGCCAGGCATTGCTCATCTCACGCAGATGTAGAAATCCCTGGGATCCAGCATTGCCACACTGCAGCCATGCTGCCCGCAGGTGTCCAGGCCACCAGGGAAAAAGACAGGGCAAGCCTCAGGGGCAAGCCTAAGGAAGAGCCAGGGATCCCAGTCAGAGGCGTGCAAGAAGCGTGGCCCCAAGAGCAGGATACGAAGGGACTGGAGCAATGGGACATGGGATGGGGGCACCAGCAGGGCAGGACAGAGACGCTCCCCCCCCCCCCTCTCTGAGCACTATCGCTTTAGAGGAAATCACCTTTTTTTCTCCCCCCAGGACAAGCAAGAGAAGCC